AAATGACAAGCAAAATCAAACTGTCGAGAGCCCACATGTAGTTATTGAAGATGGTCATTCTGCTGCTATTTATAATGGTCTGAAATTCACTTGTTGCATGGGATTTGTAGTGCTTTTTATGCCCTGTCCCAGATGTTTGGTGTTAAAATAAACTGCTAGCACTATGTGATTTAAGAAGAAACTAAACTGCAAAGTTCTATTATCCTTGATATTTTATTCATGCTAGAGAAGCAGAGGCTGCAGAGCAAAGTTTGAGGAGCTTCCTGCATAGACAGATTTCCTTTCTAGAAGGAACACGTTACTTTAGATTAACTGAAAAAGAGCTTTGACAGTTTCTCTGTCCTTTCCTGCTGGAGAGGGTTTTTTTGCAGTTGCTGAAAAGAAATTAATTACCAAATGTATGTGTGGTAGTGTTGTGTTTGTTTGGTTCAGTGTTGTGGTGTTTTGTTTTTCTTTTAAAATCCTGTACCTTCAGGTAGAAGAATCTATTTGATTTAATTGTAAGGTGCAATAGACTTTGTTGATATTCAGGTGTCTATTTCTTTTGCTATGACAATGTAGTAAGGTTGTGAGATTTAAATTTGCCATAATGCCATTTGTTAGATCATACTGTGGAAGTGTATTTTCTATAATTTTCAACTGTTAAATGCAATTTTTTTAAGTGCTCTGTAGAAGAATACCACAGTCTAGTAGTGTTGAAGGTTAGGGCTGAGCTGGCCACTAAACACTGACAGATGCTTTCTAACCCTTTTCCCTGCTCAGAAGGAAAGGGAAAGGGAATACTCTGCCAAATCCTTCTTTTAAGCAGAAGAACCTTTGAAGAACGTACTGTAACTATTCAGCTTTTGTGGAGATGCAAAGCTTTGGTGGGATCACTGAGTGCTTGAAGTGAATTCTTGTGTTTCAGGCAGTGATGTTTGATGCTGCCTGCTGTCATTTGGGAGAGGGACAGGCAGAAGAGTTTTGATTCCCTTGATCAAGAGTCTAGTGCAAAGGTTCAGCTTTAAGGTTTCAGCCTGTCGTGCAGAAGCAAAAGATCATACGTGGACAGATCTGAAATGAAACAGGAGCTGGGAGCTTAAGTGTGTGGGCAAGGGCAAAGTTTCCAGGGCCTAGGTAATGTTGCCTGGCATTGAAGTAAAATGCTTTTGGTGACATGAGTATTAAGAGCTCTTTTTCTCAAAGAGCAACTTTTTTTTAAATGAAGGCAAAGTTTCCAACAACATAAAATGAAAAAATAATGTGTTGGCAAGTGTTACTTGGAGGTTTACTGGCCTCAGGTAAGAGAACAGCTGCTGTAACAGAGCTTGTAGAAGTTCAATACGCCAACTGGCAAGCCAGTGAAGCCCTGCACAGGGTGGCTGGGTAACTTGTGCACATGCCTGGATACCGCATGTTTCCTTCCTTCAGGTGGTAAGTACAGGAGCTGCCAAGTGCTGTCAACACCTGTGATAAGGTACAGCAGTGCTGAACACAGACACAGAAAGGGGAAAAAAGAGATTTGCTCTGACTGACTCCGGTATAAATTGGTTACCCCTAATGGGGGACCATATCCCAGCAGAAGCAGAGCATGGAGCAGGCAATGCCTTGCTTGATGGCCTTCTCATGCCATCGGTGCAGTCAGCATTGTAGGTGCCCCATGTGGAGCACAACTGTGTTTGCCTGTTTCTTGAGCCTTCCCGACTCACTTGGGGGCCTTTATCTAAGCTTTTTTTTTTTTTTTTTTTAAGAAAGTCTGTGATAGTTATTCATCATTATCAGTGGCATTTAGACTTGTTGCTTTTTCATCCTCTTCCCTGTCTTCCCACCACTCCAGTCCCCCCCTGCAGTGAATCACAGAAGGACTGTGTCTCTTAGTCATTAACTGTAGGTGTTAGCCCACCCTAGTGCAAGCAGCTCAGGAGGAAAATTTAGCAGAGAGCTGTCTGGCAGTTTGGAATCTAATCAGAAGTGCTTTTGTGCATTCAAAGGGAAAAAAATTCTTTGTAAACAAAAAGAATATATGTAGCAACTGGAAGATTCTTTTTCTGCAAATATGAAGTACAGTTAATTCGTTGTATGCATATAAAAGGTAAGTGGTTATAACTTGGCCACACCTCACAGTGAAATATTGTGACTTTTTTTGTTTTTACTTTGTGGCACCACACGTTTGATATTCACATCACAGATGCCTTTAGGTATCGGGCTTTTAGTTTGAGCTGTAGAACTCTGTTTTGGCTTCTGACCATGGCTTGTCTGTTCATGGAGACTTATTTTGAAATAAGTTTTGTGCTTTAAATTCACATCTTAGCTTGGTTCACATTAGATGCAGATGCAAAAGCCTTTAGGAACAAGGTTACCATTCTTCTCAAGAACATTTAGTAGATTAGTAATATAGTTAATGTTGGAATTTATATATCTGAGGACAGTCCCAGTTCACTGTGTGCTTGTTGGAACTGACACAATATTGATGAGTGGGACAGAGGACAGGTTCTCTACTGGTCTTATGGTCTTTGATCTTCTGGATCAAACATGTTTGATACTTCTCCAGCTTTCTGAAGGACTGCAACAAATGCTGAAAAGATGACCTAATTTTTTTTTTTTCAAAGCAGAAAAATTTAAGAAATTGAAAGAAAAAAAATATATTGAAATTTCCCATAAAGACTTAGCCTTGTTTACATATCACTTTCTATTCTATTTCATGCTTTCCTATGCCACTTTTATATTTGCTATATGGTAATTCTGCTTCATTCAGTACCTTGTATGAAGGCAGGTAGACTCAGACTTAAGGAAGTAGGAACAAATGCTAATCTGTGAAGAAAATGCCTCATTTCATAAACCAAGGAGCTCATCTCCTGCTCTTATGCTGATACAAAGAGCTGAATCAGTCACCAGTGTTGGGTGGCAGGAAGTACAATTATCTTTACAGAGTAAGCTTTACTCTTGCCATAATCTTACTTAATGTAACAATGCAAATGTTGAGATATTTTCAGAGCCTGCTCTTGGCCACCTGAGGTGAGAGGGAAATATTAGCAAAAAAAAAAAAAGACCTTCTAAATGAGGCTTTCTGTTTACCAGGGCTTCTGGGTAAGAACCAAAACTATCATGATGTGATATGCTGAGTGTTCAAAACTGGCAGAGAGTTTAGAACGTGGTGCTCTGTAAGGGCAGTGCTGACCTCTGGTGAGAGAACATGCATGTTAGTTTTTTCCTCCTTCCTTGTTGTGATTCAGTGGGTATCTATGAAGAAGCTGGTTAGCGAGTTTTAAAAACAATCACTGGCTTCCAAAATTGCATGGAATACTAAAAAATACCCACCTAGTCAGATTAGCTGGAGATGTGTGACTGATGATGATATTGTGAGCTTAACACCTAGTCGAAAACTGAGAGAATTGTGGGACCTAACCATGTGATAAGTGTCCCAATGCCTGCAAAAATTTGATGAGAGATCTGTCCCGCTCAGACTTTATCTAATTATGTAAGTCTTGGTGTTAGAAGTGTGAATAATGTTTTTTGTTTCTCCCAATCGCAGGTTAAAGTGGAATATAAAATGGAAACATTATTTTCATGCCTTTGAGGTAATGGGAATAATTGATTAATTAATTCAGGACTATGGTAATGACGGTTCACGTTTAAAGAACAAAGGAAAACAGAGAAGCAGAGTAGCTGACTGAAGTTGCAAGTGTCTCAGAACTGACGGTGGAAACTCATCTGGGAACCAAAGAATGTAATATTTTTTTGTGTTCTGTGGAGATTTCTGTTTTCCTGTGCTGTGTATTCTAACCAGTCATGTAACAGGATTTCAGTCAGTGGAACAGCATGGAAATGCTGACCTGTTGCTGACCAATTGCTACAATTACTACAAGAAGATGTTTTGTAAGCGAGCTAAGAGCTGGTGGTACTTGATGTGGACCCCAGTTATCCTTCTCCTTCTGTGGTGCTGAAAATTATCACTTAAATTCTGGAACTGCTTATATAAGGAAAACTTGGTGAAAGATATTTCTATCAGTAGTTATGCTTCTAGTGCTTGAACAGAGCCTAGAATGAGGTTGGTTTAAAGAGCTTTTTGTCCTTGAGTTAAATGTCACTTTGCAAAATGCTGATCCAGTTTGTATGTGCAAACGTGAGACTGTAAGGCTGGATCAAAGATCAAGGTGCAAGAAGCTGGAGAATAGAATGTGAAGAATTGTGAAATTATACCAGAGGTAGGCAAAATGTGTTTATAAATTTTATTGTCGTAGAAATGATTTATGTGGGGTTTCTTATTCAGTTTTTTTAACTTTAATTATTTGGCAGATCAAATCTTGAGAATCTGTAAAATTCTCTAATTAAAGCTGACAAATGTGATTATTGAAATTCATGGGCTCAACCATTTCTAAAACTTCTATAACCAATTGACTGGGATGCAGCTATTGTAGGTATGAATCTCACGTCAGGAAAAAGTCTGTGCCTTCCCTTTTTAGTTTTGATAATTGTTTTATGCACTTTCTATGTGCTCTTAAGCAGCTCTTATAAAATAATTTTCTATTGTGCATACCAGCAACGGATAGTCTTTAAAGGTGAAATTCTCTAGCAAAATGGACAATCTTCTTGTAGTCCTGTTCACGTCAAAACCGTATATGTGAGCTCACTTTACTAGATCTTAGTTTCACTTTCTGTGCTTCTAGATTGGTGGAGGAAAGACTGGCATAGTATATAAGTGAGACCCAGTGATATATCTGAGAACCTCTTTTTGCTAGGATAGATTTTTACATGCAAGCCAAGTAATAACCTTCATTTGAAGAGAAAAATAATTTGAGAGGCTCTAGTGCTGGTTTGTCTGTTTACTCAGTTGAAAAGACTGTTGAATGTATGGTGCTGTGGCCTAAATTCTTGGATACAAAGAAATCTGAACTTGCTCTAGAGAAAACTTTTGTGATTGGTGAAGACATTATGAGGGCACACTTGGCAGTGAGTTGAAGGGCTGAGCAAGACAGTACAACTTCAACCAAATTTTCTGTCTCTTCTCGCCTCTGTTCCAGATGTCATCTCTACCAAGGAGGGTGAAATCTGAAGCCAAAGCCCTTAAATCAGAAGATGATGAACTACCTTCATTTCTTAATTCGTAAGATGACTTTTTGCCTTAGGATTTTTCTAAAGATTTATGCTAAGCATGAAGATGATCAAAAGGATTTATTGCAGAAAGCTTCTATTTAGTCATAAACCAAAAATTACCTATGCTCTTCATGCTCACAGTGAAGTTAGGGTGAAACTGAATTGCTAGTTGTCCAAACAGAATCATGTGTGTCTAGATCCCAGTGATGAGCATTTGGAAAGCTTGATAAAAATTGTTTCAGCTGTTAGCTCTGCAGCAGCATTAAAGACCTATATTTGTTGAGTGTGCCTACCTTGCTGATGTTCATTTTTTCTTTCCCTTTCTTTCATGTCAGAAAACACTCAGACCAGCTTGCTTATGTATATATTTTTTTTTATTCCTTTCATAAGCAATATTGTTTACTTGTTTGTTTTTCAGGAGCTCTGAATCAGAGGAGGAAGAGGAGGAGTGGGAGCCGAAAAGCAAAATCGCCAAGAGACCTCGGTTGCCAAAGAAAAATGAGGCAAAACCTAAAAAAGCTGCTGCTCCACGGTCAACTGTAGCCAGGAAAAAGGTCAGGAAGGTAGCAATAAAAGAGGAAATGGTGAGTATCTGTAAGCTTCTGAGATATGTAATTACTGTGGTTGGCAAGTAACATGGGCAGAAATTTTCCAACTCTGGTTCACTGGATTCCCTGAGTTTGATCAGTTCGTTTGATTTCACCGTTACTGCGAATATTGTATAGATTTGATAAATGTGACTTTCTTATGTATTTAAGTGTCTAAGGGCCCTCCTTTAAAATTTTGGCAAATGATAATGGATGGTTTTCCCTGGAGATATCTTTTGACAATAAAAATTAATACCTCTTTTCTTTCTGTAATGAGAACTGAACATTAATTGGTGCACCTTTTGTCTTCTGCCTTTTCACCAAGTGAGTACTTCAACAAAAAGGCAGCCCACATGTAGGTTTCCTTGCATGGCTGTTCAACCCAGTAAAGATTCCAGTTTTACTATCATGAATATAAGATGCACTTCTATCAGAACTTACTCTTGTCAGAGATTAACATCAGAGGTCAGGCCAGGACGAAAGCCAGTTCTTCTGGCTTCTGAAGATGATCTCTGGGGAAGTCTGTGGCTTGTCCAAGGTTGAACAATATCTTTGCAGACCAAATCTCAGTTCCGGTTGCGATGCTGCACCTGACACCTCACTAGAGGAGTGTTTCCCTGTCCTGCTCTTTCCTTTTTTGTTGAGGTTAAGTGGAAGCAAGGACTTTAGGCCAAGGTCTTCTGGAGAGCCCAGTTTAAATCTTTCCAGGATAATTTCATTTGATCTTTTAAATCACAGTTCTGCTGAGTGTGTGTTTGTATTTTTTCCTCCATGTAAGATATATTTCTAGTTACTTGATTTCTGTCTTGACATTTCCCTGCCAGACAGAGGCATCACTTGGGAAAAGGATGTCTGGTATCAAGTCTAACTTGGCTATCATTGAAATGTTCATAGAATCATAGAATGGCCTAAGCTCGAAGGGACCTTAGAGATCATTTTAATCCAGCCTCCCTGCCGCCAGGGACGCCACCTGTCGACTAGATCAGGCAACACATGGGGACCGATGTTGAATCAGTTTGCAAAAGTCAATGCTTAATATGATTTCAATGCCTTTTTGGCAGGATGTATCCTTGCCTATTGCTGGTGCAGAAGATAACAGAATGCAACTTCTAAATCTTAAGGAAGAAGATGTGGGCACTAAACAAAAAACTTTAAATCAAAAGCCAGAAGTGCCTAAAAAAATGGAAATGAATTTATTCCAAGGGAAGAATGTAAAGTGTTTTGAGAGTGATGAAAAACCTTCAACAAGTGTTCCTGTGATGGGTAATCAAGTGAAACATGAGAAATCTGAGGAGGATTTTACAGTTGATGAACCACCTTTTAAAAAGATTAAGTCGACTACATGTCCTGAAGGAAAGCCAGTTAAAAATCTAGGAGGCAATAAAGTAAAAGAAGAGTTTGAAATGAACTGGGATATTGTACAGGTATGAGATCTTTTCATTTTCTGAGCTCTCAGTGAACCATTTTCTACATAATTAGCACTTAGAACCTTAATATACAATTTCAGTCCTCTTGGCGTCAACTGGAGTGTCAGAGAGTCGTTATGCTGTTAAGTAGTCATTTAACCTCTGCTTAAATTGTCATAATACATGTATAAATATAAATGTGGTTGGTAACTGTTAAAACTTCAGACTTTAACAATATTCTAATTTGGGTGACTTAGGCAGTCCTTAGTACAAAGCTTGCCTGTAACAGTTTGTACATTTCTTCTTATCAGCACGTGGAGTTTTTTTGTGGATATAGTCAAGTGAAACGCCTGCAGGAAGCAATGTTCAAGGATTTGGGATGTCCATGTGTCCATCTTCAGAATTTAAGGTTTAGTTAGTGTGCATCGTTTCACTGTAAAGACTCATTGGAGAATGTAGATCAATTTACAAGCATCATCAAGGAAAAGATTATCTTCTTGGAACAGTGACATAAAGGGAAATAATATCCTACAAAAACAAAGATGATAACTTTGAAGCTGTTGAGGTGAAGACAGTTTTAGGGTAGCTCCTGTTTGGGGAGTCTGGGTGTGGTTACAGAAGATTTTAATATGAGCAGAATGGAAATAGATTGGGTGTATTCTATTATTCATCCTTAAGATGATGCTTGAGGTATGAAATTTTATTTATGAGTCTTCTAAAATATTCCTGGAAATAAAGACAGAGAATTTGATCTTTATGTTTGCTGCTTTAAAAGCAGTGAATATAATTGTGCGTGAGTTGTTATATTTACAGGTTTCAGAATAAAACTTTTGAAAGGCTATTAAATCAGCCCTCTATGGGAATAACTATAGCAAAACACAAGCTATGTTAGTTGTAAGTTGCTAAAAGAATGGTATAGTTTGTTGGCATTCCATGTTGATACATTGTAACTTATCTGTGGCCTAATTTGTACAAAGTATGTTCAACTTTGAGGTTTGATTTATCTTGAAACCTTCAGTAGCATCATGCTAGTTTTCAATTACTGGTGGAATGGGATTTGGATCAGATTTAGGTTTGTGGAGTTTGTTTTATTTAACCATGAGATATGACAGGGTTGGTTTGAAAAAGAAAAAAAGTTGCAAGTTTTCTGAGTTGCCACGTGGAGTTTGTTGTCTTCCTGATTTTTTTTTTTTTTTTTTTTGTGTGTCACTGTTTGGTGTTTGGTTTTCTTCCTCTTCCCAAGAGGCACTCCTTCCTGCATTTTTTTCCTTTAGTTACAAGTTTCTGGGAACACTGGTTGCTGCATGTCTTTCTGAAGTACTGGATGTGTTGACTGGATCCATGGGAAACCTGGCATCCCGGCTTAGGGAAGACAGTAGTCTCTGCTGGCCAGCATAATATCCTGGGTGTGGTTTTGAACTTTGAGTGAGAGGGTGTTTGAAGCAATCTATCTCTTAAATGAATCTTCTCTTAAATGTAATTGGTTTGTTTGTTGTATTTTTGTGGTGGTTTTTTTTTTGCTTCTAACAGGCCTTGTCAGAAATAACAAATGTTGAACCATGGGTATGTGCAAATTTAATTCGCCTCTTTAAAGAAGAAAACACAATTCCGTTCATCGCTCGGTATCGAAAAGAGCTCATCAATAATCTGGAGGCTGATGCCTTGCGTGAAGTGCAGCAATCATTGGAAGAGCTACGGTAAGTAAGTTAATACAGGGAGGTACCTGGGCGAGAGGTAAGTCGCCACCACTTGCTGCTTCTGCATCTCTTCTTTTGGCACTTTGTACACACTACGTATGCAAAGGAACTCATAAAGACGACAGTTTAAAACTGAGGTAATTATGATTTATACCTATCTGGCGTGTTTTGTTGTTTAAATTATAAGTAACAAGAAATCTAGCATTATTAATTGGCAAAGAAAAAATAAGATCTAAATTTCAATGCAGTTTACTAAAACAGCAGAGCAAAAATTCTTACTAAAAGAGTAGCCTATGTGCTTTGGAGATAAGTAGTCTGATTAGGTGTAAGCTGCATGCTTAGAGAAAGAATCATTAAGAATCTTGCCACCTTGCTTGGAGCAGCACAGCCTCTACCGAAGAGCACTACTTGAGGACGTAGTGTGACAGGAGGTCGGGCTGAACTATCCCAGGCCATTGCAGAAAAGAATTGATCAGCAAAGCCTGCTGTGGCAGTGGATGAGACTGCTCTCCTTCCTTCTTTGTTTTGCCTGGCTATATTTTCTGAGATGGCAAGGGAACAGACTTGCCAGCTGTTCTGTCAGCATGATGGCTTCCTGCTTATACTCCTTGGTATCTGCTAGCGAGAGATTCTTCCCAAAGAGGAAACTCTGCTTGCAGTTGCTCACAGGTACCTTACTGAAAGTCTAAGAGTTTAGAATCTTTTATCCTGTACTCAAAACTGCAAAACTATCTTGGTATGAAGTACAGCTGTAGGTGTTCATCAGCATGGATTTAACTTAGGGCCTTGTTATTTGGATTCCAGGCCAGTAATCATGAAAAATGCGTATAGCAGTAATGACGATAGGTATTGTTTGATAATTTTTCTTAAAGCTACCACAAGATATTTTGATAGTGTTTTGAACCAGTTGGAAAAAGAGAGTAGTAGTTAGAAACTCTTTTGGATTATCAGACTTGGTTTGTTAATGATTAGCATGAGATACAATCTTCAGAGGATTCAGAGAGCTTCAGCAATGTAATGAACAAAGTCATGATCAATACCTTTTTTAATCCACCGTGAAACGTGACTATTAAAATCAATCTCTTGCATTTTAGTACTGTTGCAAAGAAGACTCATACAATGATACAGAAGTTGAAGAAAGAAGGGAAATTATCTGGATGCCTTTTAACAGCATTATTAAACTGCAGAACCTTGGAAGAATTAGACCATGTGGTCAGTACACTAATCTTTTTCAGACCTTTCTAAGTTTAAATGTAACCTTGCTTAACTATATAGTACATAATGCAAAGTACATATCATGATTGAAATATTTCCTTGCTTTTTAGTAACTGTGGTTTTTGTTTGCTTTAAGTCTGCACCTTATAAAACTGGGAGTAAAGGCACCAAAGCGCAGAGGGCCAAGCAGCTGGGATTAGAACCTGCTGCTCTCTCCCTCCTGCAAAATCCTCTGGGACTCAATCTGTTTTCTTACATTAGACCCAATACGAAAGGTAAGCGCTCTGCTTTTACGAACAGTAATGTCCTAAATGCCTGAAAATATTTTAAAAGGGAACTACAATTCTTCTTATGTTGCTTGAAGTTCTGCAACTATTTTAAATCCAATAGCTCTTTAGGCAATGTGCAGTAAGAGTTTACATTTAAAACCATTGGCTCTTCAATCTTTCCCATCATCTTGTATTGTAAATAATAATAATTCTGCTATACAAGAGACAGAAATCTGGACATGTTGTAGTTGACCTCTGTCTTGGTAAGAGAGAGGGAACTGCACCGCATACCTGAGACCTCTCCCTGGTTCTACTCTTACCTGAAGTGTTTACTGATAATTGAATGCTGATTGTACAAGGCTCATACTGTCACCCATCAAAGCGTATCTCAATAAAAACTTGGCCTTGGTGACTGGGAGTGAGCGGGAGAGTTTTTGCTACTGAATGAGAGTAGGAGTTGGAGAAGACGTAATCTCTGAAATCTGAGCAGGAACTTGAACAATAAGATTGTTGCATCCAGACAGCAGAACTGCATTCCCGTGTGAGTGCAGTTGTGGGTGAATCTGTAGGGGGCAATCTCTGACAATAAAATACGAAGATTCCTGCAACCCTTCTGTGTGGTGTTAACACGTACTTTTCTTCTCTGCCCCAACACTTCCTTTTTGAATTTTAACATAAAGGTACTAAACCCTCTTCGTGAGGCTGACTCTTACTCTTCCTGATTAAGTTGTTTTATTTAAATATTGTTTATAGAATGATCCTTAACTTGGACTGAAAATCAGTTACCAAAACTCTGATTAATTACTGCATTTTAGCATATGTCATTACTTCATGCGACAGAGTATTGCAACCACACATCTGACTGTACTGGCAGAGTCTGAAGAGCCAAAAGAAAATCTTCATGGTGAAAGTTCAAATAAATTATTTAGAGTGCATTCAGGAAAAAAGTGCTGTTTGTTGCAGCATAAACATTTCTGTTTTTGAAAATCAGTACACCTATTTTCAATTTGGTGCTAAAAATAATGTTGCTTAAGTTTATATAATAGTTTCCATTTGAAAGGCACATCAGAAATTACATATATCTATGAACTGGGTCACTTTTATCAAACTGGGAGCCAGTGTGATAACCCATATACAGCTTGAGATCAGAGTGAAAATTTTTTTTAAAGGAATGAGCCATTTGCTGTGCAGAAAAGTTTTCATCAAGTCTTGATAATCGGTTCTTTTAGATTCTCTGTTCTGAAACTTACACTAAAAATAAACAGAAATAAAAACAGCAGTTCATTTTCCAAAGCCAGACATTTGAAAGTTAAGGAAGCAGGCTCACCAGAAAACTTTGTACTTCCTTTCAGTTTTAAGCATGGTCAAATATTTCTCTAATTACATAAGCATGTGTTGTTTTTGCAACAAGCACAGTAAAGTGTCCATCTGAGTGGTGCTTGTTGAATGGGAACTCTTTGATTATTTCTTTATTCTTAGCTGGTTTTGGCCTATTCTAGCTCATTCAAATTATTTACTAGAATTAAAATAATATTGTCATGTACGCTTCTGGTACCCAAGTGTCTTGATTCATATTCAATAAAATGCATGTATTAATTTCCTTAGCTTTGTATTCTGATGTCACATTACTTTTACCATAAGAAACACAAACTCATAGATTTAAGGATACAAATTCCACAACTTCCAGTCAGTTCAGACATTTAATAGCTTATTCTTACATTTTTATTTTTATTTCTGGCAGGTAAACTTGTCTTCCCCTTCTTAAAAAAGGGCAAGATTAATTTTTTTCTAGTGTCTACCTGTATAGCCCAATGAGAAGCAGGGTTCTGGATTCAATACAAATATTAATTATTAGAACTATGGAGGTTTGGTGTTTTGTTTTTTTTTTTTTTTAAATGCTGTTAAATAAAGCTCTTTCAAGATATCAGTAGCCCATCAGACAGCAGAATGAACAATTAGGTGTGTTGAAGGGGACAGTTAATGCTACATCTGCCGGCTCTAAGATTATTGCTTTTGACTCTGAAGCATTTGTTTCTGACTGTTGCTAGAAACAGGGTTAGATATAGTGATTTAAATTACAATATGTCAGTGTTATTTCAGAACTAGCCTGGTTCTGGTCTGATTCAGCTGCTGTGCTGAGGAGAATACCGTGCCACTTCTTCTGGCATTTTGAAGTGAGAGGTGGTTCTGTCTGCTGGAAAGCTGAACAATTCTGTTATCAGCACTCTAGAATCTAGGAGATATTTTATAACTTCACTGTCTAAACAGTGTTTTGTAGGAGAGGGTGAGGGTACCCTGACCTCAGAAGCATCACTGTGTCAAACTCCTGCAACAAACCACTGGAAATATAAAATTTAGACAGAGATAAGACAGGCTTGGCTGCAAAGATTTTAGGCAGTTTCTGTATCAGTAGAAAAATGTGTAGACTTCTGCTACTCATTCTACTGCAGCCTCAGAAATTATAGTTGAATATACAATTGAACTATTGTAAATAATTCACTGGCATAATAAATGTCAAGTTCTGTTACAATCAAAGTAAAAAAAATAGTATTATTTTTCTCTCATTTTAATGTCATTTTGACTTAAGATACTGCATTGATCGCTTTAGCCTCATTAAAAATGTAATGGTTTCAGATGTTTTGGAAAGGAAGCTTAGTTAATAAAAAAGTTCTGATGAGTTCAGATTCTTCATTGAAACTTCTGCAAATCAGTCTGGTATCTTGCATTGATTTTCCCTTCAGCTTGTATAGATTTTCTTAATGCTTTTGCAGTCATGAATTTTTCTTTTTTTTTTAAAAAAAAATTTTTTAACTGTTTCTTCATCTAAGGACTTTCAACTATCCAGGAAGTAGAGGCTGGAGTACAGCATATTTTAGCTGACATCTTCGCTAAAGATAAAGATACACTGGATTTTGTCAGGAAATTGTAAGTTTGACTCTTACTTTCTAAACTTCCCTGGTTCACGTGGTAAGATTCAATCTCCTAGCCTGCAGTTACATAACTAAATTTTTTTGTTTTATAATGATGTGAAAATAATGTTACTGCAAGATTGATTTTGGTCCATTCCGTCACTTGTGCTGGGGTACACTTGCCAGCTTTTCTGCCTGCTTGGCTGTCAGGGGAGGAGAGATCTGCTGTGGGCATGGCACAACTCTGTGACTCCTGAAGACTGAAAAATTCTCCATGGCTCTGCTCCAGGTAGAGCTGATCTCCCTTGCAGTTAGTCATTGGCAAGGGACAATTTTCTTTCCTCGCACTTCCTTCAAACTGTAACTTTTCAGAGGTGCGTCTCCTTAAGCTGTTACTCCAATATTTACTGCTTGACTCCAGTCAGTGCAGTGAGTGTGCGGGGATGATTCATTTTGGCATCAGTAGTCAATAAGGCAAACAAATACGACTTTTTAACGCAGGAGTTACTGATCCTTTAAATGTGTTAGCTGAATTGAAGTTTTCGTACATTACATGACTTCAAAATTGTCATGTCTGGGAAGCTGCTGTAATAGTTGCTTGTATTTTTTTCCCTCTGCCGTATACCATCTGGAACAGAGAATGTGGTTATCAAAGAATAGGTGCCACCGTGGGAACATTCAGTGTTGGTTTGAATCAGCTCAGTTCTGTTTAGTTCACCCTTGTTTGCTGTTTATCTTGAGTAATGGCCAACCTGATCAGAAGGCTAGAGCAATGTGATAATTTCAACCAAGAGGTTAATCTGTAAAGGATTTGCTGTCACTACCAGACTATCACTTTCTTTTGACCACTAAACGCTCCTTAATTGGATATGCAGTGCTCTACAGACATATCCTGTTGATCAAAAGTGTGTTGCACGTATATTAATCATGAGGAACATTCAGGAAGCTCCCTGTTTGGGATCCCTGTTACTCCTAAAAAATAGTGAAATGGACAAAAAAAATAATGAATGTTATGTGCTCAAAGCAAGAAATTAATTCTGAGGCTGAGTAGATTCAAGAGAGATGTTGCATTTGTTTGCATTTGTATAAAACAGATAACAACTGTAACTTTTTTTGCCACTTCCCAGTATTTGTTCTGTGTTGCTGAACCAATAGCTGACCAAACCGAAGTGCAGGTGGCGGCTTTTGGCTTTTGTTGTGTTCTGTTCTTTTTGAGGTCTGCTTGATTTTCTTCCCAGTATGTTCCAATCAGTGTATGTTGCGTCAATCTCGGCATTAAGATATGTAATGCGCTTCTGCCAGTAATTAGACTTAAATTGTAACTAGGCAGGCTCCAAACTTCATTTTTATTTAGTACAAGCACTAATGACTTGTTACTCGTTTCATGCTAAAATACCTTATTGACATTTATTTCTTTTATTCAGATGTCAGCAAAGGTACATTTGTATCCAGTCAGCCTTGGCAAAAGTGTCATCCAAAAGTGGAAATGAAAAAGATATTGACAAATTTCAACTGTACCATGAATTTTCTTGTAATATAAAGAACATTCAGCATCATCAGGTACAGCTACAAATTTGTATTTTTTTCTTAGATTTTTAACTGTGGCAAAGATGTCTTTGCTTTTGAGTTTTGTTGCTTAAAACTGATTCTGATTATACTCAATTTTGCTTTTCAGTTATCAAATGTTATAGAAACTTTCAAGTTCTTGAAATGCTTATTCAGTGTGCCCATTGGTTAATTGATTTTCATTAAGCAAATACTTACTTATAATGATTTATGTATCAGGTTTCAATACTGGTGTGATTTAATTTCAGCCTGTGTCATGCCCTCCACCCCTTCCTCGGGTGACAAGTGCATGGCAAATGTTATCAGGAGGGGAATCAAGGCTAGGCAATAATTTTATGGTCTGTAGAAGTGAGTCTAGGGTAGTAGTAGAAGCTGCATGGTTGGATTTGAAGCAAACTTGCATAAACTGAGTCAGAGTGCTCTGAGCTGTTTGACACTAACCCTGTCAGGTGAAACTGGTGAGGAGCATCCGGGAAGGATCCAGAAAGATGAAATTCAGGGTGACCTACAAAAGCAGCTCAGGGGAACATCCAATGCTCCACCCCTAAAATGGATTTGGTTCACAAGTCATCAGTATTTCCTTCTGTGAAGCATCTTTTGTTATCCTAAGCCCCAAGCCTAGACCTATATGACTAGAAAAGGAAATGAGTGACAAAGTGAACTTGTTAGCTGGTAAGAAGCTGATGACTTGATAACTAGACTGCTCCTGTTCCTGAAGTTCAAAGGCTGAAGTGTGATGCACTCAATGCAGCTGTCAAGACCTTTGCACTGATTCATAACGAACCACCAAATGAATTGTCTCTTGTTTTGGTCACAATTACCTAGCTTTAAGAAACAAAACAAAAATGCAGAAAGAACTAAGCAAGTCCCTGAAACCAAAACAAAAAACCCACACACTCTTAGCTACTTTCAACCAGAAATGTCCTTTTTCTATTAGAAAACTGCCTTATTCTACTGCAGAATGCTTTTTCCTTCTATATCTCTGATATGCTCTCATTTTCTCCCTGCTTGCTATTCTAAAAGTGTTATACTTTGAATTAATAAAGGATTTTCTTGCATGCCTTGAAATTAATTTATTACAACAAATATTTATCAACATGTACATCTTAGTTTTAAATCTTCCTGCCCCATATAGATGGTGTTAGTGAAATAGTAAATAACTACAAGTAATTTTAATAGACAAAGTCTTCTGTAGATGTTTGAAGAAGTATCTGGGGTTGTTCTCTTTGTAGCAAGTATGAACATTTACTGTATTTAGATCAGTAGTTATTTGGTGAAAACTTGCTTCTAGAGGATCTGGAAAAGTGAATAGAGCAATCTAAGACTACTGTGATGACATAGCACAAAGATTTGTAGACTCCTCAGCAGACTGTATTGTGCTGTATGGATTTTTTTTTTTTATGTGAGTGCTTTACTGTTGGCTGTCAAAGACTTTTTCCTGCACTGAGTGGTGAATACTGAGATAGGCAACGTGTATTGCGTGTATGAGTGTTTCCTGGGATGGTGGTATGATTTAGTTCTTGTCCAAGGCATGTGTGGGTTGTTTGTTTGTTTGTTTGTTTGTTTTTTTACTGCTTTACATAAGGAAAACTGTCGGTTAGCTAGAGCAAGGGGTAGAAACCGGATTTCCCAAACCTGGTCAGCACTCTGACCATGTGGCTGCACTGTTTCTTATCCAGGATGTGTCCTTAGTTTGTCTGTTTGATGTTAAGATTAACTTGATCTGTTTTGGTTTATTTCTTCTCGTGTCTGTCGCTAACCTTAATGCCTCTTTCTTTTCCTGTTCTGGCTCACTAGTGAAGTAATAATCACTGTTCTTACAGCTGGTAGTTCTGTAATCACAGGATATTTTTGCACTCTTCTGTGTTCATCGATATATTACTGCTATTGACCATTCTAATTAAGTGAATATTGCACTGTTATCTTAAAAGTCTGAGTTGTTTGTGCCCCACGGAGGTTTGAGGGCCCAAGGTGTATTGGGCCTCTTTTGTACTACTTGAGGGAAAAATCCATTTAATGATCATGTGCAGTTTGCAGAGCTCCCTGTTTTGTAAAAACACAGTAACTTTTTATTTCTGTTGATTTTTGGTTCTTTTTAGTTTTCCAGTTCCTTTCTTTGTCTTTCATTTGTGTTTCGGTGGTGAAATAAGGAAAGAAGTGTTTTTTTTATCTGCCGTTTCTTCCCTAAGCTTAAGCCCTGATATTGTACTTTTGAAAGTCTTTCTCATAAGTTCAATTCCTTTATCACCTAACTTTGCTTCCCTGCTGATGTAAATTGTAATTTTTTTTCTCTTTTATTTTCTTGGAGTTTAATCATCCTTTGTAATACCTAAATGTCTTTAGTTTCTCCTTCACTCTAGACTTTGGAAGAAATACTTCTTTTGTGCATTCAAAAAGCTGATTAAAAATGTGTTCTTGAATGTGCTTTGGGAAAGGTGTGTGTGTCTTCAAGTGAAGAAATTCTCTGGTTTGCTTAAAAGAAGCTTATACCTAAGAAAGATATAGGGAAGCCTGAAACTTGGAGGGATTTAGAAAATTTACTAGTTGCCCCAGGACAGCTGTGTTTGAAGAACACTTGGAAAATTCACTGTTTTGAAGACTTTCTCTACTCCTTTCATCATGACTGTGCACAAACAAGTGTTCTTAATGGGTTTGGCTAGAGGCAAAAGTAATAGTCAGCTTTAAATCACTTCTCTGCAGAGTTGCGAAGAAAGGATTCTATGAAATACTGCACCAAAACCAGTTATTGCCTGAGTATGGAAGTTCTAGTAGTCTTTAAGGGCTCTGTAGAACCCTAACTCTGCTCCAGCTTATATGTAAGTAAAGGGGCTGGACAGTAGACTAGCATGTTACCTTTAAGAGAATAAGGTGTGTCTTTACGACCAAAGCATTTTTAGCCATGAGTGTGCTTTGCAGCGCGTGTTACAGCGAGGTGAACCAGCGTGTGCAGGAACCTGTGGCTTGGTTCTGCAGCTCTTGTTGCAGACGCTGTAGTTCTGGGTTACTTTTCGATGCCGTTGTCATTTTGTGTGTTGAGACGTGCCACGAAATAATCGGGACTGATGTGGAGTCGTGATGGTTGACTGAAAAAGTACTGAACCCAAAATGAGAAATAAAACCAAACGAACTTATTTGTTTAAAAAGGCTGACTCCAGATTTTGACATGGCTGGATCCCTGAGGGTGTTTCCATCTGGAACATTTTGCTATTGGGAGGCTCAGCCACAGTTCCTTCCTTTGACAGCAAGGAGAAACCTGACTGGACTCTCTCAGGATGGATGTAGTTTGGGTAGCTATACCAACACTGTCATAACTAAGGAAAAAAAAATCTTTTAAGAGTTTATTTGAATTTTTAACTAATTGTAAATTGTAAACAGTTAAGTGCTTGTATATGCCTTGGGGTTGGCTTTCCTCTATTTGGAAATGACTGAATTGAAGAAAATGAAGAAAAGAATTCATGAATAAAATGTAATGTTTGAGGCAAGTGCTCTATTTTCAATCTCAAAAAGGAGTTGGAAATTAAAGTCATTGGCAGAATATACAAAACTTATTCAGTGAATCTAAGTGAATCAGTAGCATAGAAGAGAGCTGTGCAAAATGAAGGGGGTTGTATTTTTCTGATAAACAGAATAAGGTTTGATGAATCTTGTGACTAGATCAAATTACTGTTGTTGCTTTCTCTGAAAAATGTATGTTGTTTTTATTAACTCTTCCCTGGATCTCTTCTAGTCTTGCATAAAAACAGTGTTTCTGCAGAACTGAAAGATTGCTTTGTGTCTAGAATAGCCAGATTTTAACCTATTACTTAATAAAACAAAACCAAAACAACCTTTATTATATTAGAAGAAAGTAATTAGTTGATTTCTCCTTAACTGAACATTCCTTGGATGATAATTCTCTGAATGCACGTCACTTAGAGCAGGATGGGCTGGTTATTTAAGAATAAAAACGTAAGAAATATTAATGACTGCCATACAGCTGGTTTAAGTTGAGGTGATTGACATGTTCTACAGACGAAGTGCCAGGAAACAAAATGTGATGCAAATATTGACCCCGCTAACAGCATGCTGAATGATGACATTATAATTCTATCAGATACATTCTCTGTTGAGAGCATCATTTTGATTTCATTTTAGCTTGACATTTAGCTTTCTCTCTTTAAAAAATAAAATCAGAATAAACGGGAAAGCATTTGATTTGTTAAAATGTGTCTTTCTAATCTCTACATGAAAACATTTGCTTTGGCAGTCAAGGTACCAGATGCTATAATATTTCACATGCAATCTTTATTATTAGCTTTGTTGTTCAATGATATGTCAGGCCTGGTATGTCACAGGAGCAGTAAGGCTGAGGAATATAAATTGGTACTATGTCCTGGAGTCATTTTAAACCATTGTATTTAACATATGTGACATGTCTGAGTTAGCTAGTGATTGAATTAAAGTTCATGATTGACACAGAATGCTCGGTTGTGACAGTGCTCAGGGCCTGCTACATACAGCAACATGTGTAGTCATACAGGAATGTCAACTTCTAGCAGGTTTTTCTTTTTTCTTTTTGCACTTTAAAGTATTTTGCAAGGGGAAATGTAATCTAAAAATGTGTGGGCTTTATTTGTAGCTGCTTCTATTATTCTGTTTCTAAAATCTCTTGGCCAGTGAGTTTTCTTTAATACTATAAGGCTTGTTTCTTGTGAAAGCTCAATGTCTTCATAGTGAGATTGGACTAGTAGGTACCCACCAGCATCCTTCAGCATCCGCCACTTGAATCGTCATCCTGGTTTTCAATGCAGAGCCACAGGCTTCCATTTAAAATCGAGCTCTGTATGTAGACAGCACGTGGACAGCGAGATTTAGCTTTACATCCTGAATATGCAGTTGTGTACACGAGATGCTGCCAGAACTATGTGCGTACGTTTTAAGGCTGGAGTGATAATATTAATGGAAAGAGTGTATTTACAATATTTCCTGCTATTTATGAACTAGGCATGAATAACTCTTAAGTCCATCCTCCTTCCAATTAGGCTTTTTACCTTTGTGTCACATGTTCTGATTTGTAATTAATTTAAAATTTGGGTTGATCTTGGGAAGAAAAAATGAAGCCTGAAGCGTAGGACTAACTTTTTCCCTTTCTGATCTCTAGTTCTGACTAGAATCACTGTTCAATTCATTTCGAGGGTTTTATTTTGGGTTATTAAACAAGATTATTCCACCAACTAAATTAATGCTGACTTGTATTGTAAGCATGTTTAAGATAAACTGGATCTTGAGATTGAAGGCTCCAGGAAAAATGTATGGTTTGTTATGCCACGGCATGATTTAATCTGTGTTTAAATTGTGGATTTTATCTGTACGTGCTAGTACTTTGTGAACTGATTTACTGTACCACCATTGTGATTTGCTACAGAATGTCAAGCAAGCGCGTACACAAATGTTGATAAGTTTATCTTTTGGATATTTTGTGTGTCATCTGTCTCTGCCATTTATGTTTGCACTCAGATTCTGGCCATTAACCGAGGGGAAAATCTGAAGATCCTGACAGTGAAGGTCAACATTCCTGACGGGGTGAAGAATGAATTCTGTTGGTGGTGTGTCAATGAAAGGTCTGCATGGATACATATTCTTACAGAATCTCTTTTTTCTATAGACAGCTGCATACTGAAATGTACCTCACATGTCTCCTTACATTAAGACAGCAATTTAAACAAATACTTTATTAGATTAGATGAAATTAGCAAGTCAATAATTCTTATTGTGTGTTTTCAACTGCTGTAGCATTATGCTGAAAAGATCATGCCTTTGGGTTTATTTAGGGGATTCTGGCACTGTTCTTCAAGCAATTGGATTTTTAAAAATATATGCAAAGGCTGATGAAATGTGAATATGTTTTCAGACTGTAGTATACATAACATCCAGCAGTCTTTACTGAAAGGAGTTTGCAGAATTCAGTAGAATATACTTCAACTTCAACTTGTAAAAATTTCATAGGCCTGCTTTCAGCAATTAGAGGTCTATCTCAGATTTTAGATCTGTGAAGTACATAACTTTTGAGGTTCATGAATGTAAGGAATTGCATGGTTTAAAAAAACTGATGGATGTAATAGACAAACCCAAATGTGGCTGTTTTCACTTCTTGATTCTCAAATGTGATCTGACCTGACTCTTGTGTTGTAATCTCTGGTAAAGTTACAAAACTGGGCTCTAAATTTTGTGTACTTCTTCTGTTTCTTACTGATTTGCTCCTACAAGTTGCTTTTTTTAAGCCTGTAGTGAGATGTTTAGTGTTGCATGATTTTGAGGGTTTTTTTTCCAAAGGTTTAGGTTAATTATATTTTGTTTGTTCAATATCTGTTAATCTTTTTCTTGTGAACTTTACCTTGATGTTCTCTGTTGAAGAATATTGTGATCCAAATTGTGCATTTTTCTTGCATGTATAAGAGGCAGGTGTCTCTTAACAGTTTTAGGTATCTGGCCTTGTTCTGAGGATGTCTTAGAAACTCCTGCCTTTGCTTCATAACATTGAATAACCAAAAGGAGGGAATATGCTAGAAAAAGGTGTACTTTTTAAAATGCATGAAATTGTATACTGTGATGCTGTTTTAGCATGTATTTTTCTTTCATACCAAGTCCAAGAAAGGAATGTGGTAAAAATGTTCCTCTTTGCTGTAGAAATTCTGTAGAGTTCTACTTCCAGCACAGAAGCCTCTGAAAGAGCTAAAATATTCTTTGGCCAGATAACATTGTATGATCTAGGACTAATAGTAAGTAACTTTTTTTTTTTTTTTTTTTTTTCCTTTTGCAGGAAAGTATCAGGAATCATAAACATGTCTAAGCTTCATTCTAGTTTTAATACATGTAATAGAATTTCTGTCCTCCTCCCTAGATGTATATTCTGTAGGCAGAACATATCTGTCAGTCTTGCTTTTACTGCCTCTATGACAGAATTTGGAAGCACTATAAGCCACAGATAATAGAACAGCTTGTCACTGCTACACAAATGAAAGTGGGATGTAAATTGAGATATTTTTGGTTGATTACACTTTTGTGAGTCATCCTGAGATAAAAAGAATATTGACCTTGGAAATGGAGCTACTTATTAGTACTTAGCATTCATGAGGCTATATATGCTTATGGCTTTTTACTTTTTAAGGACAACTTCTTCACCATCAGAAGAAAACTTCCAAAGGAATGATTTTAGTGGATCTTAGTGCATTAACATCTAGGACAGATTCTGATCTTCCTCATTAGACTGACAACTGTGTTATCAAAGTGACAAATAGTAAATGTGTATTCTGCCCTGCAAGCTTGAAAATGACTGTTTGAGAGTGGGAGTTGCATTATTTTCATTGTATTGATTTACTGGTGAGAGCAGAAGGTCAAGAACTTCTGTTTGAGGCAAGGTTTTCAAAACTTTGCAAAGGTATTAACTAATTTGCGGAAGGTCACGTGCAAAATCGGTTGCAGAACCAGAAACGCCACCTTGCTGCAGAGTTTGGCCAGTATTCTAACCACAAAAAAATATCACCTACTGCATATCGAGGTAGTAGCAAATATGCTGAGCTCTATGCCTTCTTCTGAGATTAATCTTTTAGCATTAAATGCCCCTGCCATGCCAAATGGATTTGGAAGACTCTCGTTATTGCTTTGAGCTCCATGTAGGTGCTTTCTAAGATTACTTTATTTTCTCTGCAAGTTCGGTATATTTATGAACCTGTAGAGGCATCTGTCTTTCCTTGTAGTTCAGGTTTGTGTTGAAAACTTGGGAATATCCTTATACCTGGCCCTCTGGATGGTATTCTTCCCCAGAAAATGACATCTCTATAGTTTGACAGTGAACCTAGCTCCATTAACACTAGAACTACAGTGGTCTCAAAGACTTAGTTGTGTGAAGTAAGACATGGAAAAAGGATCAGTGAGAAGCAGCTGGAGAGAGTCTGCTCAGCAGGCTTTAAGTGTAAGAACAACACGGAGTTGTTCCCTGGGAAGGGACAAGATTTTGTTCTGAAGTGGGATTCCAGCCTTGAAAATGAAGTTAGGCGTTTGATAATCCTTTTTAAGTTTTCAGACAAAATTCTGAAATCCTGTGTAAAGTCCACAGTACAAACCTGAAAGATGGGCTTTATCTGTGGTTGTCAACGTCGTGCATGTTTTGCCCTATGTCATGGGAGGAGAAAAAGCTCTACCTTTTGTGCTTCAGGTCTAAAAGCCTAGCTGTGCTCTTCCTGGAGCAGTCATTACTTAACAGTAGTGGTGCTTAACGTGGGCTACACTAGTTCTGCTGCTGTACAGTTTCACCCTCTGAGGGGTAGCAGCAGCCTAAGCTGGTTTTGCTTATAGTGATCCCTGTTGTGAGCACATGCACATGGAGAGCCAATGAGCAGAGAAAGAGGATGATATTTGCATGGAGTTTTTCTAACTACGACTTTCTTTAAAGGGCTTTGAATGTCAGCTCTTAAATAATGAAGAAAAATCCATTCTTTGAGGGAAATTTAACTAGGCTGCATTTATCTTTAAAAATATACACACATGCTTTTGCTTTGATTTTTGCAGCAAAGTGGATTTTTCACGTTTCCTATGAAGCACTGGAATGGTTAGAATGCAGTGTTTGCTATGATTGAACTTAGTGTTTAGATATTTTTGCATTTGTAGCAGTTTCTAATGGAATGTTGCCTAAATACTTTTTTACATATATATAGGCAGGTAGTAAAGATGTCTGCTCTGATAACCTGCTTACAGAGGAAAAGCTTGCTAAGTGGTTTTAATGGAGAGAAGTGGGGAAACAGCTGCCAGGTTTCCAAATTCATTCTTATTTGTGCTGAGGATACTTCTTGGGGGAGTGTAGTCATACTTGCCACCTGTAAAAACTTCATGTTTATAGAATTGAATGGCAATAAGAGGGTTTAAAGCCCTTGCCAGTTTTATATAGGTATGGAAAGAGTCTCCAGTTACAAATAAATATAATAGAACTATTTGTAAAACTGTTAGCAAAGTGATGAGGTCATGTAGCTTAGCACTCACAGCTCTCAATATTGTAAAACTAAATGGTAAGCTTGATTCTGCTCCCATGTCTGTCTATGTTAATGCAATGTTGACTTGATCACACGTTTTTCAACTATTATATGTGAAGACACTTAGAAAAGCTGTTTCAGGAGATTGTAGATCCCCTTAAACAACTGAAAAGCTGTCTGGGCAAGAGCAATTTAGGATTCTCAGTGTTTCTGAGTGCAAGTAAACAAAGTCAAAAGTAAAATTCAGTCACAGAATCACACAGAATTGTTGAGGCTGGAAAAGAGCTCTGAGATCATCAAGTCCATCCTATGACCCAACACCACCACATCAGCCAGACCAGGGCACTAAGTGCCACATCCAGCCTCTCCTTAAACACCTCCAGGGATGCTGACTCCACCACTTCCCTGGGCAGTGCATCCCAGTGCCTGAGCACTTCCTCTCCGTGAGGAAGTGCTTCCTGATACCCAACCTAAACCTCCTCTGACACAGTTTCAGGCCATTTTTATTTTTGCCTAGGCCAGCACCTGGACACATTATCAAATGGCCATAGTTCTATCATGTTGTTTGTTAAAAAAACACAGCAACCAACCAAACTTACCTAGATATAGTAAAAAATACGTATGTATCTCACTTTGCAGTTAGAAATACAAACATGTAAAAAACACTAAATGAAGAAAACTCTGGATGCTATCAGTATTTTAGAAAGAGATAAAAATCAGGTGGGCTGTAATAGAAAATATTCATAGTCTTTTCTTCTATTGGAGTATAATATATTTGGCTGTGTCTCCTCAGTCTTTCTCCCTTTTATTGGGTGGACAATCTCAGTGAGTCAGTTGTGCTTGTTCAAGGAACTTTTTTGAAACTGAGGTGTATTTTAGGACAAAATTTGAAGTTATTGCCATTACAGCAATGACCACTGTGCGCAGTCCCCTTAGAAAAGAGAATTCTCCAAGAAGTCTGTCTTAGGAAAAGCTTTGAAATAGTCTTGTTTTTAGTATTTCAATTTCCCATTTGCTAGACTATAGTTTACACTTCCAAAATATCAGTAACACATAAAAGAGAAAAATAATTTGCAAGTTGTTTTTTATTGTGGTTTGTTTTCATGGTGTTTTTTTGTTTGTTTTTAAGGACTATTGCAAAATTCATAGATGCAACTTTGTGCTGAAATGGAGGTACTCATATAATAACCCAGAACGGGGTTTCATTAATTAACATTAGCTTAGCTCTTGAATTTCTGTCTGGAAACAGAGGCCTTACATCATTAGCTCTACAGTGACACTCATGGAGTATATTTAGTCATTTTTATTTTATGTATTGAGGAACAGCAAATAATGCAGCCCTAAATGTTAATATGGAACCAGGTTCTTAATTCAGCTGTGGTAAGTTTTGACTTCTCAAAGTGAAGAGTAATTTTTTGGTATTTTCTTTAATACATAATATTGCTTTCTAATACTTAACAAAAAAAGAGAAAAGCTAGACCTTGTCTGATAGTAGAACCATGTGCAACTTCTCTTTCCATTCATATCTGAAGCTATGATTTCATTGCCTAATTATTGTAGTAATTCTGCAGGTTTTAGGACTTTACACTCAATTACACTCAATGTTTTTTTTTTTTTTTTTATATTGTCTTGCAGATGGAGACCAAAGCAATTTTTAAAACCAGAATTAATGAGGATACTACGGAGTTCGGTAGAGGATGCATATAAACGCCTTATATATCCTCTCCTCTGTAGAGAATTCAGGTAAGCCCCGAATGAATATTTTCATACTACCAATTTCTTAACAGTTCACTCCCCAGCTCCTTATTAGAATGTCTTTTATGCATTTGAAAATGTCATCATGTTTTTAGTCATCTGTGCTTACAGAAAGAATGAACTATTTAGTCTGTAGATTTAATTTGTGATCCTGTCAGTTTAGACTACAGTACAGAAATGATCTTTCTGTGAGTATGTAAGTGAAAATCGGGTTCGTGACCATCTGATGAACCTGAAAGTGTACAAGTCCATGGGACCCCATGGGATACACCCGCAGTACTGAGGAAACAGGCGGATGAGGTTGCTGAACCCGTTTCTATTATATTCCAAAAGTCATGGCAGTCCGGTGAAGTCCCCACTGACTGGAAAAGGGGAAATGTAATCCCCATTTTCAAAAACGAAGAGAAGGATGAACCAGGAAACTATCGGCCGGTGAGTCTCACCTCTGTGCCTGGTAAATTATGGAGCAGATCCTCCTGGAGGCACTGCTGAGGCAGCAGAATAACGAAGAGGGGATTGGGTACAGTCAGCATGGCTTCACCAAGGGCAGATCATGCCTGACAAACCTGGTGGTCTTCTATGAAAAGGTCACAACATCAAGAGACAAGGGAAGAGGAACTGATGTCATTTACTTGGACCTGAGCAAAGCCTTTGATACTGTCCCACGTGACATCCTGGTCTCCAAGCTGATAAAACATGGATTTGATGGATGCACAATTCAGTGGAAAAAGGATTGGCTTGATGACCGCACCCAAAGAGTGGCTGTCAATGGGTCCATGTCCAAGTGGAAGCCAGTTACAAGTGGAGTCCCTCAGGGATCAGTGCTGGGACCAGTCTTGTACCTATGGTCTTACATTTTTGTTCAGATTGGTATTGTTTTCCTGATATTTCTCTTCTGAAGCATCATTGGCTTGTGTGTTCTGTGTTCTTCCTCTCTGAAAAGAACTGTCAGCTAAAGTTCTGATCAGCAGATACTTCTAATGGCTTTTGGGTTTCTTTCAGCATTTTGTGTTTGCTTGTTATTTTGCAAGCAAGGTTGCTCTGCCTCTCTTGATTCATGGCCTTATTTTTTGCTACTGTAAATTTCACACATTTCTTTTTTATGTGCTGGGTTGACTTACGTTTTTGTGACCACAGTACATGTAGCTACTTCAGGGGAGGAACTATGTCTATTGTTTGGCCAAAATGAGGAGCATCTCATGATGGGGAGTCCAAATATTGGCTTCTGTCCAAGTGTGAAAGTTGTGATTCCTAGCCTTCTCCACAATTAAACTCTTCTTTTTATCGTAACTAAGCAAAGTGACATAAGGCTCTTTTCTTCAAGGTGCTTTTATTGTGTTTTTGCTTCGTGGTTCCTATCAGTAAACTGTTGTGGCCTGTGTGTAACACTGAGGGCTGCTGCAGCGCTAGGTTGCTCAAGGTTTTCTGTTCTCTTAATTAAAAAAAAAAAAGCTGCCTTCCCTCCTACTTCATAGATGTTGCTCAAAAGTTATAAATGCAAAGAATACAAACCTTGCTGCCATTTCCTGTGTGAATGTCTGCTTATGTTTTACCCTTTGTGATAATTTTGCATGGTTGGCAAATTTTACCTGGTTAGGAAAAGATAAAACATCTGTGGAGAGGAATGCAAAGCACCTGCCAGTAGTATTCCTGGTCTATGACTACTTAACCCTTATCCTTCTTTTATTCTCTTTCCACCCACACCAGGATCTCATTTTTAGGACTCTTGCAAAGGGCTGCTAAAGTATTCAATACCTCCTTTTCGCATTAATATTTCCAACCCACCCCCCACTGTTCTTTTCTTTTTATTATCATTAAATATTGGACCAGAAAGTTTCCAAGAGTGTACTGAAATTTCTGGTGCTTCTGGTGATCAGAAGAATGAAACTTACCAGCAAGACAGTTACCTTATTTATTGTTTAATTTCCTTTCTTCCACTCTGTCAGATACCATCATTTTTTGTATCTGTTATAATAATGTCCAGTGTTGCCTTTGGCTCTTTGGAATACATTTTTTATTTTGTTGCAGTACTGCATGGAATGATTCCAATAGGATTTGATGCAAGTGATGTGGCATGGATGTTTTTTTTTATAATGGATAATCCTTTCCTAATTTTCCATGCTTTCTCCAAGTGAATGCTTTTCTCTCCTCTGTCTTCAGGGACACAAGCATTTCTCTGTATATCTTGTTTCGCACCTGAAGCTAGTTTGCAGATATTTTTCCATGGAAAAGATTGCCTCTCAGCCTGTATATGGAAGTATGGAGTTTTAAATTTCAATTTAAAAATTGACTCTTATAACATTGAATGCAGAAGCTAGTGGGTCATTATCAGCTTATTTGCTTTTATTACAATGTACCTGTTAGTGATATGCAGTCTGAGTGGTTCACAGAGTTCAAGGGAGGGGCTTGAAATTCCTACTTGGTTGGTATTTTTTCCATAAAGTAGTAACTGAAGGGATTTTTTGTGTGTGGTTTTTTTTGTTTGTTTTTTTTTGTTTTACAAAATAACCACTCCTCTTGTATTTAGAGAGGAGGACTGCTATCCGCCTCTGCTGTATTAATGAGAATTGTCACAAATTGGAAAAACATGAAGCTGGGCATCTTGCCATTTGGATAAAGCCAGTAGTTTGCTGAAAAAGATTGTCTGAAGTAGCTTTATATTTGTCCAAGGATCAAATGACTAGCTGAAACTTGAAATTAAGAACCAGTACTTTGGACGTTAGATCATGTCACTGGTACAAGTGTTGAGTGAGAGACAGTTAGAGAGAAAAAAAAGGTCTATATTTGAAATTAAAAAATACAGGATATTATGTAATAGAAAGGACATACGTTATGTTCCCCCTACGCACCTGGCACTTTCAGTAACATTTCCTGTTACTATAAAAGTTTCTGTATATCCATGCCAATTTTAAACATGATTTCCATAAGGTGCACATAACTAATAGCGTGTGCTTAGGGGAAATTTTAATTCCTGCAGAAATCTCCCTTCACAGGTGGACTGATGTGAATTTGCAGTGTGGGAGGACTTGGCCATGTAGGCAATAGGGACCTCTGGGATAAATAGAAAGCTGGCAGTCCAAGAACATTCAACCTTCCCTTTATTATAAGCTGCTTTCAAACTTAATTTCTGTGCATACATGATGGGTTGAATCTCTGTTGAACATGTGTGCAGAAGATCCATTTGGCTGTGAGGCTTAGGTATTTGCTTTTTCTTTGGTCTGTCACAAGCAGCATCAAATTCTGTGGCTTAGGTTATTTCTTGTTCAATTTTTTTAAGAATGTGAGAAGGATGCTGCAAGACTGAATGATCAGGAAATTAAATTATGTGGAGTTGAGTGTAAGAAAAAAGAAGAATGCTTATGAGGAAGAATAATTCTCTTTTTACATAAAATGAGCTCTGAGTTGTCCTGACACTCAGGAAGGATGCTTTGGGACTGTGGAAGGTAACTCCACAAAAGTGTTAAATGCTCAAAATATAAGATTATTTAGTTAAGGAATAAAGACAAAACAAAATTGTTGGTTTAATTGGCCCATATTTGGAATGCTATTGGCCATTTTGGTCCCAGAGGGATTAATTAGAACTAGAAAAGGCCCAGTGAAAGGGAAAAAGGTATGAAATAATTTGTGTGAAAGCTTGACTGGGCTATGATACTTCAGGTTGGAAAAGAGAGGACTTAGAGATGAGTGATATGTGAAGACTGGCACAGGGTTTCTACAGATAAATTTTGACTCTCTTCCAGTATAAGACCTGGGGTAGCATAAAAAATTTATTAAAAAGAATTGGTTTCCAACCAAAAGATGGCAGCTATTTGCACCGTTTTTGATGGACCTGCAAAACTCGCTGCCAGCGGACTACGTGGATGCAAGAATAAAATTAAATGTCTTGTGGGTCATGATGTGTTAGTTATTAGTTGGATAGGCCTTTCACTTTCTTTCTCTCTCAGCCTAAATTATCATCCTTTTTGCTGGGTAGTGATTTTTCTCCAGAACTGGGAGGTTGTAATGAAGTCAATCCATTCCTTCTTCAAATCCACTTTTGTTTCCAATTAGGTATCATCTTTGATGAGAAGCAGTTCTTTGCTCAAAATCATGAGTTGATGTTTGAATGTTAGTTTGAATGTGTTTGTTCTCATAGGTATTTCTGTTAAACCTTTTATGTTGATTTACTTTCTTAGAACTGGAACGAGATGATTGTATAGCTGACCCTTTTTTAAAAAAAGTGTCAAAAACTTTTTTAGAAGTATAATATTTACAGATAATGAAAACATGATTGGAAAAAGCCTTACAACTTTGGAACAATTCAAAAGTGCATTTGAAAGCTAATTGAGGGGAAAATGTTCTTTTCTTTCATCCTTCTAAGATCAAAGTTGACATCTGATGCAGAAAAAGAGTCTGTGATGATGTTTGGGAGAAATCTCCGGCAGTTGCTTCTGACCAGCCCTGTGAGGGGACGTACTTTGATGGGAGTAGATCCTGGCTACAAGCATGGCTGCAAGTTGGCAATTATTTCACCAACCAGTAAGTTTCAATTCCAGATATTTTTGAAAGGACTGATAAAAATTTTATTTATTTAGAGCAAAGAATAGTTTCAAAACGTACTTTTTTATCAAAGTGATTTTTTTTTTCCTGAAAATTTTAATGTTTTCCACACATGCTGTCATGCAAATCCTTTTCTTCAGGGTTGAGGTTAAGCTTCTGGCACCTGGATTCCACTGTTTCCTTTGGTGTTATTACTCCTCTTTAAAATAGGATTTAAAATCCTTCTGCCTTCTTGAATATAGGTTCAAATAATTGTGCCTCTCGGTATTCAGCAAATAGAATACCTGATATTTTTATTGTTTAACAAAGAATTTGAATTTTAATGCTTTCTGTAACTTTGATTTTCTCATGGATAGTATCTTGGACATCTGGACGCTTTATCAGCCTTTTTTGTTTAGTAGTATGGGTGTTAGTGTGAGAAGTCAGAAGCACTGTATTAGGAGAACTTTTTAGTTCAGTTTTTAGACAGCTATAGAACAGAGCTTTTCCTGGTCTAGTCTGGGTATGCGTACCTCTTCAGACCCATGCAGAAATGCTTTGTTTTCCTTTTGTTTCATCAATGCTTTCTGTCTGAGGATATATTCAACCAGAGTGGGTGTAAGGAAAGACGTGTTCTTGGCGCATGCTAGAATGGCAATAAAGGTGAGGGAGATGATTATTAGCTTCCATTGCACCATAAGCTGTCAGTCCCAGTTAATACAGAGTTATTTCCAGATGTGATAGATGGGGTGATCCCAAGAGCTGACACTGCAGTTCTAGAGCTCCTGGGGTGCAAGTCCTGAGACTGCATTCCTAATTTTCATCTTTACCGGATTTGTAAATTTACTAGACTAGAGAATAAATCTTTTGCAGTGAATTGCTGTTTTTCTCATTTATACACTTTATTTGCCTGATATGACTAGATGCTCGTTATTGGTTGTGTGGTTGTGTCCACAGGGAACTAGAAAATGTGTCAACTCACTTGGCTTTGGCAGCCAAAGCGTTTTAGTCCTCTGCTCACCATACACTGCTTCTAATTGGATACAAAAATAAACAAAAAAGATGGCTTATTAAGAGGCTTTCTTCTTGAATCATCAAATTTACTGCACTAGTTCTGCAGGATATAGCTTTTGGATCTTTGTGTTTTTTATCAGGTGGCTATGTCTTTCATTGTTCTAGGTCAGATACTCCATACCGATGTCGTTTACTTGCATTCTGGTCAAGGATTTCGTGAAGCTGAGAAGATAAAGAGCCTCCTGCTACAGTACAGGTATGCTAGTGAAACTTCCATTTACTACTCTTTATCACTAAACATAAGTAAAGTCTGCATAAATACTTACTTTTGGGGGGAATAAGAATTTCAGTGTTTTAACTAGAATTACTCTTTTTTATGTGGTTCAAAGCTTATTTTTCTTTTAGACTATTTTAATGCTTTTACGCTATGTGTATGTTAGAGGCATATGAAATCAAGGCATGGCTATGACTAAGGCTGTGTGCTATGAGCTTATCCCCGTAAAGCTATCTTAATCCATTTATTTTTAGGAATAGAAATTAACATTCAGCTAAGGAGTAAGTTTAGCCGCACTCATCCTACCCCCTCACAGCCCCCAAACCACTCATTGATCTTTTTCTGTTCCAAAAGCCACATTTAGTCTTTGAAGAGTTTTATTAAGTAAAGGGAATCTTGCTTAGATAGATCTCCAGACGGACTCGCAAATAGCGGTGCCGTGATTAAAGGATTGCGGTATCCAGCCGTTTTGGGATCCCCTGTGGACAGACATCTGGTCCACTGAGTCCGATGCTGAAGTGCCACAGGATACCATCCAGTTTGTCTTTAAGCCTTAGACTGGCTTTAGACGAGGTGATTTGGCGGCTCACTGGCTGTGGTGGACGCAGTCAGAGGCACTGACCTTGCAAGTTGTTGCAAATCCTGATGTTCCCATTAGGAAATTAATGTTCTGATTGCATGGGCTTCTGCCTTTTTTCATGGCTTGTAACAGATGAGAGAAATATGAGGTGAAAGGGTTTGAGGACTGTGGATAACATGGTATTTCTTTTATGATACGAAGTACCACTTTTGGGGTTTCTGCAGGTATTACCACTGTTCAGTTCCATTGCAAATGAGTGAAAATTTTGACTCATCTCTTGAACTATCACACTGAAACCTGTTAAACATGATGTGATAGTACTAGGAGTATATTGTCATTAAATCTGGACCTCGTGTTACATAAAATAAGATATATTGGTTATTGTCGTGCATTGAATGATATGTATGAAAAAGTCTAAAAGAATACTTGAGAGTAATTGTCCATTTTTCTACCCTGTGCCAAGCTGTAGCACTGTTGTAATTGGCAACGGCACAGCCTGCAGAGAAACCGAAGCTTACTTTGCTGACTTAATTATGAAGAAATATTTTGCACCGCTGGATGTCGTTTACTGGTAAGATCACTTTACTTGCTGTGATATTCAGTACTCAGCATACAGGTAGTTGTAAATGTAATTTTTTTGAAGTGTTTCTTTTTATTACCTTGTGTTTCTTTTTTGAGTTGAGCTTGACCCACCCTTCTAGCGGAAGAAAAATGTCTGTAGCTCTTTGGAGCATGAAAGTAGTTCTCCTGAGTCAGTAAGAGAGACTCACTGAAGCATTTTATTTTCTCTTCCTGAGGTTTGCTCCGTTGCTATTATCATTGTAACAAAGTATGGGAGAATAGCAGCTCAGACATCCAAGGACCCGTGTTTGGCATTGTGTGTTTATTTCTTGATAAATGAGGTTAAAATGCAAATGATAAAGCTTGTGTTGTCTGACTATGGTATGGAATGCTTGCTAATCCTTTGGGTATTAAATAGTCTGGAAATAAATATTTTGTTAATACCTAGCAGAAAGTAGTGAAAGCATTTATCCTCTTTAAACTTCAACTTTTATCCATTAGTTAGTTGAATTCAAACTAAACTATTCTGCTGTTTCTTTGGATGGAAGCGATAACACTTCCTTTTCTCCCATGCAGAACCCCTCTTATTTCTTAA